GAGTCTAGGGGTCAGGTGTAACATTCCAGTTTTGCCCACTTATCACCAAGGTCCAGGGCAACACTGGAATTCTGGTCCAGTTCAAGGTTTCAAGTTAAACATACACTGCATGTACCTCGGGTCTCACCCTGGCGGCTGAGACAGGCCACTCCAACCAACTTGGCGGCACATCAATGTCAGCCTTATCAGGATAGATCTCCCCAGATCGACCCATTGACTGTGAACATTCTAAACTAACACGAGTCTCATTATGTGTCCAGTTTATGGGTATTACACAGAAACACACCACTATAACATGAATCAAATATGTACTTTATTCATTTACAATAAATGTCATAATGTACATCAATCTGATTGGAGCTAAGGGCATACATTGTCTAACAAACCCGACTTAGATCGGGCCAAGCCGGGCTAGCTCATTAGGCTACCCAGCCCATGAATAGGTCTAAGCACTAATAAGAGTTGTCCATATAAGCATTTAAGTATTTTACATGACCAAACTACCCCTAAAATGTTCAATCAATCTCATTAAATATTTTTGTAACAAATTCTATTAGTATATATTAAAACAATGATGACCACATAAGATGACCTCTCTATGCTCCCTTAGCATGGCAATCTTTTTCTTTTTTTGTCCCAAAAATTTACAAACAAAATCTTTCACGATTGTAAATCATGATACAATAGGAAACTAACGCCAATCACAATTGTCCGTTATTGTTTTGGACAAAATAAGCAACGTTTACTCTTCATATCCCTCTTCCCCCATCATTTTTTTCTTCCCATCTCCCCCCTCACCATTTTGGATGAAAAAATAGGGCGGATCTGTTCACCACGTAGCAAGGGTGGAGCTGGTTCACTCACGTTGCAACACCTTGGTCTCCTCTCTTAATTATTAGGGAAATTCCCGATTAGTACCTAAATGTTAAAATGCGACAGTCCAGTACCCGAACTTTCAAAATGTGACAATCTAGTACCTCTCATTAACCAGTTTGTTAATCAGCCGTTAAGTGACATTTGAAAAGTTAAAAATGCCCTTCGAATGCCATCTAATTCTCTTTTATTCAAAAAAGTTAGTGACTGTTTAGAAGAATCTAGAATTTGTGTTTTTTCAAAGTTCAAACAAAACACAAATAAAATATATCAACATTTAACATATAGGGAAGGGACTAATTAGTAATTACTTAAACAAAGTATTGATTCGGTTCGATTTTCATAAACCGAAGCGAGTTGTTAGTTTATTTTCTCACACAAACCGAAACTGATCGGTGGTTTTGAAAAATCGACCAACTCAGGTTAGGTTGGGTCGGTTTGACATTTAATGTGAACACCCCTAACCCAAATCACTGTTAATAATTAATAATTCTAGAAATACGATTAATAATTATCAAAAATTATTAACATGAACAATTTACCATAATTTTTGAATAATTTTTAGAAAAATATTATTAACAAAGCCATCATTATATTACTTTCTTCAAATTATGGAAAATTACCTATACTAATTATTTAATTGATCAATCAATATAAAATTATCAAATTGGTTATTAAAATTAATCATTTCTGATAATTAATATTATTCAAAAACCAACAATTGAATCAAGATAATTAATGATAATTAGTTAATGATAATTATTAATATATCCGATAATTTTGAATAATGATAATTCATATTAGCATTAATATTTCAGATAATTAATAGAAAATGAAAATTGATTTATGATAATTTTTTATATCCACTCAAAATTATTTACTATAATAATTATTAAAATAGTAATTAATAATTATTAATTAACAACAATGATTAACAATTAATAAAAGTTATACAAATATTCACGATAATAATTTTTAATAATAATATTGATAATCCTTTGATAATATCTGATATTATTTAATTTTTTATAGTAGTGTTGATATTAATAGTAATTATTTATTTTTGAAAATATTAATAGCAATTAGTAGTTATTAATTATTTCTGAAAATTCTAAAATTTCTAATAATATCTGAAAATATTAATAATTTACTGTAATTATTGTTAATAATAATTAATTAGTATCATCCTAATAATATTTGATATTTCTTAATATTAATAAATGATTATCATAAATTAGTTGAAAATAAATTACTAGAAATTACCAAAATAGCTAGTAATTTATGACGATCAATAAATAATTAGCATTAATAGTATTTTCTATTAACCATAAATTAGTAGAAACTAAATTTCCATAAATTACCAATAATTATCATAAATTAGTAGAAAATGAATTACTAGAAATTACATGAAATCATCAAATAATGTAACCAAAATAAATTACCATTCAAGAAGATTTTACAAAACCAGCAAAATAGAGAACAAGTTGCCATAAATTCAAGTTTTACCGAGCTCGTAGGCTTGGTGTACAGAAGTAAAAAAGGGGGGGGGG